TAGTTTTTTTTCTGCTTTTAAATATTTCTATCATGATTATGTTTTTGTAGTTTGATTTCTAATTAAATGTTTATATTAGTTCTTCTACTTACCTTTTTCTTTCTTTTTTTGATGTAGATACTAATTTTCTTAAACTTCATATTTATTATTTTTATTTTTTAATATTTTAATATATTAAATTACGCATGCAAAAATAATTATTTTATTTGTATAAAAGGAAGTTCATATATAATTATTAATATTGATGAACATAAATTATTTCATAAAATTAATTATAAAATGTATTGTAAATAAATTTATTAATTACAAAGATGACATAAACTAAAAAAAATTGTCATATTTGAATGGTAATATATTCTATTGAAAATTTCAACAGATATTTCAATGTATAGTTTTCGTTAGAATGATTCCAATAACAAGTTCAAATAAAATATTCTATTGTAATGAGTTTCCATTAGAATAAGTTGAATTTTATTATCCAACTATTTATTTCAGTTGGAATATATAATTTTAGTTGAAATTTTTATTTCAACTTTTGAAATCGTCAAAATCAAATAGAAACTCTAATGAAAAATGCATTCTAATAGAATATTTTTGTTTGTATTTTTGTTGTAAATTATTTTTTATGTTATTATATTTATATTATTTTGCATTATATGAATCTTCTTATATGCACGAGTTGAGGTGAAGAAAGAACCAAGAACTCGACAATTAGGGCCATCTTAATTACGGTCGTAATTGATTTATGTGCACTCCGAGGAAGTGGACCCTTCCACCTTAGATTATTATAACGATAGGCATCACGCCACGTGTGCGCCATGAGAGATTGATGATATAAGCATGAAGTTCTACAATTTCTCCAAATTGACACCTGTTCAAAATAAAATATCATTTTCTGTTCAAAATAAAATATCATTTTCTGTTTGTATTATATGAAAATAAATACAGATCACTTCCAATGGGGCAACACACATGCGGCTAAATTCAGACTTATCTGACATGAAGGAAAACAAATTTAATTTTATTCAGGGAAAAGACTGGTACGACAAGCCAATTTACAACCGGTTTTGATCTATTTTGACCGATCGATTTATCCGGTTAATAAACAATTTGTCGGCTACCTGTTTTGAGGAGTGTAGCGAATTGGTTAGCTGACCGGTTTCAAATCCGATTAGCCTAACAGAACCGGTTCTGTGCAGATCTAACAACTTTGCTATCTACATATGGAATTAAATACCATAATAACAACTAAACTAGGAAGGAAAAAGAGTGGACCAAATTAAAATAGCTTATGTCAGTTCTGCAGCTTCGGAAAGTATGAGTAGGCAAAATATTGGTCATGGAGTTGGCCATCGGGTCAATACTGGACCGGGCCGGGATGGGCCGCTCCGAGCTGGGTCAATACTACAGCCCAAATATCGCAACGGAAGTTCCCTCGACAGCCAACATACCAACACAGCAAAATACTTTAAAAGGACCCAATGTTTTTATTTATTTATTTATTTATTTTATTTTTTTTTTATTTTTTTTTTTATATATTCTCTCCCGCCGCCTCCGAGTGNAAAAAAAAAAAGAGAGAGAGAGAGAGAAAGATTTTTGGTGGTGGGCTAGTGATGATCATCAAAAACAAATTACACGCACACCTTCCATTTCACGTCATCACACTCTCTTTCTTCTCAGTATAAATATCACTTGCAACTTCACCATTATAGCCATCATCATATTATCCTCCACATACATTTACATCCACCAAAAAAAACTTCATTCCAAAGTACACCTTACCTTATAGCACAAACCCAAACCTTATCAACACCATTTAGTTTCTCTCTCTCTCTATTGGGAATTCTTTTTCTTTTTTCTTTTTTTATTGTGGGCTTCATTAATGGGAGATAACAACTTGAACTTGCCACCCGGTTTCCGATTTTACCCCTCGGATGAAGAGCTCGTCGTCCATTTCCTCCAACGTAAGGCCTCACTTCTCCCATGCCATCCAGACGTCATCCCGGATCTTGATCTTTACCCATATGACCCTTGGGACTTAGATGGTACACAAACTACTCTAATACATTTTTCTTAATGTTAACTTTCAGTTTTACTATGGAGCCATCGAATGACACAACTTATGTACTGATTCACACTTATTCACAAATAGTGTATATATTGTGACACGTGTCTTATAATAAATATATTTTGAACAGGTGTCAACGCATTAAGTGATAGATGACTCCATAAGAAAACCATCAGATGATTCCATAGAATATCTGTATTAAGTTTAACTTTAAATTAAACGCTTCATAGTTGTATTTCTTTTTATACATATGTAAATGTATATGCATGTAGGGAAAGCGATGGTTGAAGGTGACAAGTGGTACTTTTACAGCCGGAGGACGCAGAGCAGGATCACCGCAAGTGGGTACTGGCAAGTCATAGGGATTGAGGAGCCGATTTACTCTTCAAACACCGGCCAAAAAATCGGCATGAAAAAGTACAGCTCTTTCTTCTATGGCGAGCCTTCAGAAGGCGTTCGAACGAGTTGGATTATGCAGGAATACAGACTGTCTGACTCTGGCTCCTCGACTCGTTCCTCTTCAAGAAGACGGAGTTCCAAGACTGTAAGTACGCAGAATATTTGCTAGGGTTTTTTTTTAAAGAGAAGAATGAATATGTGTATATTTTTTAAAGAGTGGGTAATTTAGTCTTTTTTTCTAGAAAAACTAAAAAAATTATTGTATGTACAGGATTCCGGTAGATGGGTTATTTGTCGTGTGTACGAGAAGAACAGTGATAGCGACGATGATGACGGGGCAGAGCTTTCTTGCTTGGATCAAGTCTTTCTGTCTCTTGATGATCTTGATGAAATTAATCAGCCGAATTATTAATGAGCTAGGTTTGAAAAAAAATGAAATGTAATTAGCTAGGGATTATTATGTCGGCCTAGCTAGATTATATTAATTGNTTATGAGTTTTTTTTTTTTATGTATGAACGAAGATTTGAGAGGTGCATGAAGTTTAATTTGAAGCAATGTCCTCCCAAGGGCGACACCTGGAAATTTAAGGTTCTTATTAAGTGAAAAACCATGCAAAAGGTATACCACAAAGCATTCGACATAAAAATAAGTTGCATCCAAATGAAGCGAAAAAAATGGGGGTTGCTGAAGCCGAAGTGACCCACTGTTGCTTCAAAATTCTGTACACTTGAGAATGGGTTTGATTTTGTTTGGGTTATTCGCACGTGCAGAAATTATTGGGGGAGGAAGATGGGCTTGTAGTGGGCCAAATAAGCGTATGGTGGGCTTCTTTGTTGGCTTTGGGAGACATTATCATTATTTCTTTTTACTTTTTCATTTCTTTTCAAAAATTTCTTGTTTCTTGGTTATATTGCTCATTGGCCTCTTTGCTGATTAGGCTTTTTATAACTTTTATGAGTGATGATGCGTATTTGGTAGTTGTCTTGTTCTGTCACAAAGCTAAGGATACATTTCTGTTCTTTCAATGGGTGGCTGCTTATGCAAGCATTGGGTCATTTCTGATGCAAGCCACACCCGGGACCATTCAAAACAATGAGGAAAAGGATGTATGTTAATTTTTTGTCAAAATTTGGGTTTTTTTTTATCTTAACTATTTTGAGCTCTTGTTTGAATAATTTCAAACAATTATTTAATACTAGTGAGAATCTCGTGCGATGCACGGGAGTTTCGTACCTTAGAATATTTTTTAAAACTTTATTTTTAACAATATATTAGTCTGCTGACCCTTTTATATTAATATAAATAATTTAACATATATATCTATTTTTTAATACCGAAAAAATAATAATTTTATATATTTTGGTTCATCATAATACTTAACTATTATTTTATTCAAAAATATATTGTCGTATAATGTCATTATTATTTATAACACTTATAGAAGTAATATTCTTCGTTTATAAATGATAAATATTTAATGTATACTAATATTATATATTGATGTTATTAATTTAAATATATATAAGCAAATTTAATGTTAGGTAGGAGTGTGATTAAAATTGTAGAGTTGTTTCTAAAATTGTAGAGGGTTGTTTCTATAGGCTCCACATTTTCCTTCAGGCCCATTCCCTCCAAACAATGGAGGAAGATTATGTCGACCGAGTTGCCCTTGTCCACCATGACCCTTCGCACCATATAGCTTTCGATTTCTGCAGTAATGACCAGGGCATAGTTGTGTGGGAGCAAAACACCCACAACGCCTTTTGTCCTGAGACCTAAAGTAGTCTTGAGTTGTTCTTTGTGGACTTCTGCGACTTATTTCCACCTATTGCTGTGAACTTCCTGTTCTGGGGGACCTTCGGTTATGACTTGAATTTCTTTTCCTTTTGATGCTCTCGTTGAAGTTGTCGCCTTCATGGTTCCTTGAGCATTTTTTAAATTTCCTTCTAAGTCTTTTGATTTGTGAGAATACCATCAGCCCTTTATAGCCGGTAAAGACTGAGACTTTCCACGAACGACACAAATTTGTTACGTCACTTTGAGTTACAAACGGATTGAACACCTTACGCCTCGAATGGTCCTATTCTTTAAGCTCTGATGACATGCAATGCACCGGGAGAGGGTCCCGGAGAAAAACTCTCTACACTCAATTCAGAACTCGCTCAAGCGGTATACTTAAAAATATATCAATAAACGCGTAGAATGTTAATGACGAAAGGGAACCTGTCGCCCTTATATACGGCTTGATACGTTAAGGCCAAAGAGAGTTCTTGTTAGCGAAGAGATCCAATCAGATTCTACTTCCCTAACTTACCACGTCTCTATCTTTGTAAGAATCCTCAAGCGAGCAATACTTTCCTTCTTACTTGAAATCTTCTCTCTTTTACTGTTTTAGCTCATGGGTCCATAGATCGTGTATCCGACTTCCTAACCTATCTGTTGTGGTCTTCTCGAGGGCGTACTTGACCTTGTCCTGAGGTTTAGACCAACCTCATCCTTAAGTCTATCCTTCTCTCAGACCACCCGACCTCGATACCTCGATGTTGGTTACTTTGTTGGGCTCTTGGAAGTTGGCACCTCCATGTCGTGTCTTTTCTGGGAGCTCAGCACCTTGAACCCATATCCGAGCTTTTTGACTGAGTTTCTTACTTCTGTACGCACGGGAGATCTCCCAGCCCAGCCTTAATCGAGCTACCTGCTCAGACCGGCCTTTCGAGCTACTTCTGAGTGCTATATCACGACCCAAGGTCACGTTGTGACCTGGGTTGTCGCCAACATTCATGAACTTTTCCTTCTTATTTTTTTGTTGTTATTATCTTCGTGACCCAAGAGTTGGGTCACGGATAAATGAGTCTAAAGTAAAAAGAATATATGTTTATAATAATTAATAGATTAATTAAACAAGAAAAAGTACCAGTAGTATACGATACTTTAAAAAAATGAAAGGGAAAATGGTTTATGGTAATTTTAAAGCTTAAGAGTCAAAATCAAACTTATGTCATTACGAAACACGAACTTATGCCAAATAAAGTTACGAGGCATACCATCTGTCAATTAGTCTCAATGTATTCGGGAATTATATGTAAAGGGATATCCAACCTATATCAGAATACCATTATTGAAATTTAAATTGTCATAATTAATCATTATACAGTATTAAATAATATGTCATGCTTACATATTGTAACTTAAAATCACCAAAGACGAGACATGTTCCAAGTAAGAATATGTGATAAAACTATTTCGTTGCTTAGTAGGCTCGTAAGCACTGAGGATGGCAATCATCTCACCTATACACATTTGCATATACAAACAAAGCATATGCACATGAGTGTGAGAGATACTATAAGTGAATACTTAATTGCTAGCAAAGGCAGGTCCCATGTAAGATTCATGGTTGGTTNTCTGAATTTTTAATATTTTGAACTTCGCTTAGGAAAAACAAATTGAAAGTCATTATGATTGCCAATACATGCCCTCTTGTGGCCCAATCTCAACTTGTTCATAAAGTTCTTTAGTTTCATTGATGGAGACACCAAAATAAAAATAAATGGACAAAAATATAAAGCAATAATTAAAAAAAACATATTGACTTGAACGCAAACAAAAACCTTTCTACTTACCCCGTCTAGAGTTGGTGACACTCAGTAAAATGTAGAGACGCAATAGGAACACTTGCAAAACAAATGAATTATTGTGGCCCAATATATGTAGCTTTTGAGTAAAGCTATTTATTCTAGTCCATGTTTTTTCCCCACATCAAAAGTCAAAGAAAAAGCTCCAAGTTTTTCCGTCTTTATTTATTTGTATTTAAATATTTATTACTTATAAACCTTTTAATCTACCATCGTACAAAAATATTTTTTATTCTACCGTCGTATAAAAATATGTTTCTATTTTTCATCTTTTTTTTTTTATTATAAGTTTTTATTTTGATTTCTTAACAACTATGTTTGAAGCCTGACAATTTTAGATATTATGAGTTAATTGATAAATGTTGTCTTTCAGACTTAGAATTAACAGTACTTGACCATTTATCGGATCCCGAATTCATAAATTTAATCATTCAGGCATCAAATTAATAGGTGATCTATCTATTACGACCCAAACTTATAAAACTCATCAAAATCCAGCTTTCCCAAGTTCAACTTGTTATTAGGCTTGTGAAATACCTTGCATATATAACTTGAACTAAAAGTTTGATTTTGATTTACAATTTGATAAGTTTGTGCTACTATAAATCACTTAAAACTAGTGTATATCCCGTGCGATGCACGGAAGAGTTCATATTTTAAATATTTTTTAAACTTTATTTTAAATATAATTATTTATATTTTTCACATCTCATCTATTATGAAAATAAAATAAATACAATCAATGAAAAATATATATTATTAAATACTTTTCTTTATACAATATTTTTTATTTAAGGAATATTATTAAACCTTACGGTTTTGATTTTATTTTTTTAAATCAATAATCCAAAATATATGATTGTTAACGTACAAAAAATAATGGAAATAATCCAAACTTTAAAGTAAAGCTATTTTATTATTTTACAAATAAAAATCTTCCAATTTTTTTTTAATTTCAAAAAAAAAAAATTGGCAAGTTTGATAATGAGTTAAATCAAGTTATACGAATGATTAAATAGTTAAAATGTTATATTAATTATATTTTAAGAAATCCGATTATATAAAAATGGGTAAAAAAATATTATACTAATTAGTTTTTTAGGATTGTGATTATATGGAAGTTAAAATAAAATGAAATGTAACCAAAAAATTTGTTCGTGGTTTTTTCCTTTAAATGTTTGAATTTAAAAATCTAGTAACCAAATTTACATTATATCACGTAAGGAAAAAAATAAATAATAAATATTTATTAAAGAGATAAATTAATAATATTTATGACTTAGATAATAAATAATAAATATTTACATGTAAAAAAATAAATAATAATATATTTAAAAATATAAGTCAGAATTTCAAATAAAGTAAAAGGAGAGATAAGTCATTTTTTAAAAAAAGTTTCTAAATATTTAATATATTGATAAGTATCTCCATAAGATCAATCATACCATTTTAATTTTAAAAAAATTGGCAAGTTTGTTAGAGAGATAAATCTGGATAGACAAATGATTAATTTGTTAAGATATTATATTAATTGTATCATAAAAAATCGGTTAGATAATGTGGATAAAAAAATATAATACTAATTAGTTTGTTAGAAATGTGATAATGAAAACCAAGATAAAATGAAATTTACCCAAAAAAATTGTTTGGAATCTTTTCCTTTAAATGTTTGAATTTACAAATTTAATACCGAAATTCTATTATATCACATAAGGAAAAAATAAATAATAAACGTTTATTAATATATTAAAATATGTAATTTTGAATTTCATATAAAGTAAAAGGTATGCTTATTCAAATTTATTATTAAAATAAAAGTTATGATAAACATTTATTGATTCTCTTTCGAATATATTAATAAAATAAAAATATAAATCTAAACAAATTTTGAAACAACCAAAAAAATCGGATTGATTGGCATAAAAAAAGGAAGTGAAATCGGATTTGAATGCTAAAATCGGAACACCTACCAAATTGAATGCTAAAAGATTCGATTTGATTGGTTACCTAATTGCATGGGCTGAAAAAATTCAAAAAAAAAATTTACGAATTGAAGAAGCGAGAAAAACACTATATTGAAGCGGGAAAACGAAATGATTTTTTTAGGATTGTTCAAATAGTTTTTCTTC